GTGTGCCACTCCGCGACCCCTCGGCGGTGCTGTGTCGTGACGCTGCTGTCCGTGACAGGTTCCGATCGGAACACATCTCCGGTGCCGTGAGCCCATACCGATCACCTCAGCTCGGCGTGCGATCGGACGTGGGACAATGGACGTGAAGGCACAGTCGATCAGCCACGCCGATATTGAATTATTCAATGAAAAGTGGAAGCACGGCACAAGACATTTCGATAGGGGTTCCGTTCTGAGAAGAGCTTTCTGAGAGCCATGCTGACTGAGCATTTTATCGAAGACCTTAGCTTGACTTTTGATTCGGACCTGTGAAACTGACTCGCACCCATATTTTGAAGAGTTGCAGCTTCCAATATCGCTACATATACATAGCCGTTCGACATAACCGATTATTTGATCCACAGATAACATGAAACAGATTGAGATTCACAGATTCATGTCATCTATGTTTGACCTGATCGAAGGAGGTCAAAAAGCAGCAATAGCATTCGGCGATGCATAGTGAATGCTGTAAACTTCGTCATCGTCTCCTCTATCGGCATGGCTACCGCACCATCTTCACCATCGTTTAACGTCACCACCATAGGCACCAACACCATAACCAGCACCAGCACCAACACCACCACCAGCACCAACACCAGCACCAGCTCCTTATCGCCGTCTCTGCTCACCAGCGCGGCGCCGGAAGGCAATCGGCATTCAGTTAGCGGCTCGACTGCCGTCCCAATATGGTACCCCAGACTCACGATGGTGAGTCGTTCTACGACGCACCACCCACCCACCCCGGACAGCCCCTGAGAGATTGAACTGACTCCTTACAGCGCACGTCCGGGACACGCGGTAGGAGACGTACCGGAAAACACGTACGAAGATTATCAGAGTTCATCCCGGCACGACAGCTCAGGATGGGGTCAGCACCGGTGATGTTACTTTCACGAGGAATGAGTGCCGCAATGAAACGATATTTGACGAAAAGGAATAGCGCTGTGGCAATAAAAAAGAACATGAGAGAGGTAGTGATGGTTCAAAGACAGAGTCCGTCAGCCAGGGAGGACGTAAGTCATGTGGGAAGATTATGGTTTGGCTACATAAACCAGAACCTTGTAACCTACTGTCTAGTGTCTAGTCACTAATTGTTCTTTGTTGCCCATATACCCATGTTGCTGGAAAGTCAGCCTCCACTCTCCAGAGATGAGCCTTTTTGATCGGGTGATTAAACCCACCCAACACTGTAAATAATGCCTTTCGTATTTCAACGGAGATAATTGAATTCTGAACGAGTTGAATGTGGTTTGGATAACGAGACAATTCATAACTGCATTATCATTCATGATAAATATTCATCGGGTCACATAATGCCACCCAGTCTTGGCTCGTGGCTTTCTGGGACGCTGTTGTCGCGGTAAAGAGCAGTTATCGTGAGACCTAATCTCGGAAACCCATCCCATTTGGTCCGGGCAGGCAAATTAATATTAAACAGGCCATATTTATTCGCGTTTTTGTTGGAGCTCTGCTGCCTCCGGCACCTCGTCCAAGGCTGTTGTCACGGCTCGAATCAGCGTGACAAGCGAACAAAGGCAGCTATATAGCTGGACGCGCCCTGGTGACCAAGCGCGCTGCTTCTTGGCACAGGGCGGAACCTTTTTGTGCGACTGTCATTGCTTATGTAAATGTATGTCAACGCATGCCTATGAATCGGAATGATGAAAGCACAATGTCTCCTACCTTCTACATACACAAATTCTAGAAGAATCGAGATTTTTTTTTAGATTTTGGCTCGTTTGTAAGAGGGTTCTTTCTTTTGCACTTGTGCTATAAATAAAAATAATGTAAAACATCATCAAACTTACGCGTTTACCAGCTATCATCGGTCCTATGCAGCCACTTTGTGGCAGTTTAAAAACGCTAGTATGCGTGCCAATTTTCAGAAATAAGAATAAATAAGCTCCGTCTCAATCTCAGAGTTCCACGCTACTTCCATGGCTGACAGTTCAGATGGACAGGCCACACCTCCCAGGGTTGACCCCCTCTTGTTCGGTTGCTGGGTCAGGGCTGGAAATGACGCCGAAGGTCACCTTCACCGCGATCACAACGGATGCCTATGAATTTCGAACTTTTGGAACCTGCGCCCTGTAACCAATATTACAGTGGTCTGCCGCTGGCATCGATGGCTGTGTCTCTTTTTGTAATCGGTGCACATGTTGACAGTGGCGGAGCCCTTCTATAGAGTTCTTATAGGGTGAAGTCGTATAAGAGTACGCACTTAGTGGATTTCTTGCTCTCATTTGTTTAATATTTGAAAGAAAGAAATCGCAAATAGGGAATATTAAACTTCATTGAATTAGCCATCAACCCATGGGGCAACGATCCTTCAGCGTAAATGGAAGTGGCCTAAAACTGACATTTTCTGAACCGCTGCAGTTGCGTACTCTTACCATATGGGGTGTCTAAGAGTACGCACGCCAGGCGGGTGGAGTACGCAAGCATATCAACACACACCTATGCAGCTTGTACTGTCCAAATGCTTAACTTCAAACTCAGAAGGCATTTAAGTTAATTCTTGTATCCAAAAAGAAAAACATAGAATAAATCTTTCAAGTCTATAAATCAGGAAATAATCATGTCGTGTGTTTCTAAAAAAAATGCACAATCAAAAGGGAGAATAACTCGTATTTGGAAGAATTTCGGGTACGCATCTGCATCACAGTGCTCCATTGATGATATACCTACAAAACAAACGTCATTGAGCGATAGATTAATAATTTTATATTTCTGTATATTCGATTTAATGTATAACTCTGCGTACTCTTACCCTCCTGAACAGTGCGTCCTCTTACCGTACATGCAATTCGCGCACAAAACAACCCCGAAACGTTGCAAAACTTCGCAAACAGAATATTGCACTGCACAGTATTTCCCCAGATAACCTCACAAGTTTCCCACAACAATCACGGAAATGTACCTTATCTCAACTGCCAAGTATCAAAATTATTGTACCATACCAAAATAATATCATAACGCTCGAAAATAATATTCATCGCCTTAAACTCAACAGCGTCGCCGCTCAACGCCCACGTTCCGTTGGTGATAAGCACGCACTGGCGGCTTCATGTCACTTCATGAACTCGACAAACCCGCGTTGCTAAGCAACCGAAACAGCTGATGCGTACTCTTATCGCCCGCGTACTCTTACCCGCCCTTACCCTACCGCTGGAGTTCGTGTCCCTGAAAACCATGCCTCTATAGTCCGTACCTGTGAAGCCGGTGGTGCTCGCTCCGACCGAATTTCGTTCTGATCGATAGCCGAGCATGTGGCGGCGGAATTAATGAGGTAATTACCGCGACAACCAGGAGATGGGTCGGTGGGCGCCAGAAGTCTGACAGAACCCACCGATCACCTCTCGGCGGCTGGTAGATCGGGTGCCGCGAGCGAAGCAGATGCTGGGGTCCTACCGGGTAACTGGTGGGGTCATATGAGCTGCTGGGAACGCGCTGTTTGTCTAAGAGGACCAGATAAGCAGCAGAGATCACACTGGGAATCAGGAGAGCATATCAACTTCCGACAGTGTAAAGGTAATTTTTAGTGAAACCGCACAACCTCCGAAAGCTATTGTCATTTCATGTTTGAGTTGTGCTCCGAAAGCGTTTGCTGTTCTTAGATTCTGTTTTCTCTGCAGACATAGTTGACACTAGGTTTTCTGCATGCAGTACCTAGTGACTGCTGCTGCCCTTTGTGTGCTCGTCTGCAATGATTGAAGCGAAGGAACGCATTGTAAAACCATTGACACAACGCTATTGACATCTCATTGAAGGCAGGAAATGGGCCTGGACGACGGATGTGCACAGCGCTTCTTTGTACCGTCCTGCACTTGCCACTGAGTTGGAATTTGGAGCGTTTACTGTTTAGATTATCAACCCTGCTCTCACTATACATCCAATGAACTATAGATATGTCACATGGTATTTGCTAACTTTATGCTGAGTGACGGTTAGATCTTGATCAGAAATATTGAAACAAAGCGTCTTCTTTGTTTCACGGGATCGCACTTTTGCGGTCTATTTAGAACATTTCATGACCGTTGTGCGAGAGAATAAAGGGAGCATTTGTCAAACGGTCACCCCGGAAGGAAGTGCTACTATTGGAGTTACCCTTGCTAGTTGCCTTGGAAGCGTGCTCTCGGGTTGAACAGAAAAGTGCGATCGACGATGCGGGTGGGTCGGTACTTGGTACTGTCTCTGTGGATAAAAAGGACGGATGATCCTAGATCTTACTGCAACCGTCCCACTCTCACGGGCTGCAGCTCGTGGAGCCATTGCACGGAGTTATCTGGGTCCGATGCCGCCTCAGAATATGTTATCTACCGCGTGGTTTCAGTATGGTTAACTCCATTTCATATGAGCACATAGCTTTCAGTGGCTACCCGAGCAATACAATGAAGGTCCAGCGTGCACTGCATATCCCACCAATGGACATTGGTTCTCTGCAGTCTGCAGTCCGCATCGTTCGGTACCTAGCCAGAAATCATAGATGGCAGCACATGCCCACGGCTCAGGAGAGAGGAGCTGCGCCTGGTGGCTGGTCGGTCACAAACCTAACTGCTGCCTCATCTCCGATCCCACCGATCAATCTTCAGAACGCATAAATCCTCCTCACACCACCATCCCCCTGGATGGATGGTGGCTAAACGGTGTCTTTCATCTGACTCGTGCGTATAGTCCTTAACGGAGCATGCTAATGTGCGGTGCAACTGTGCGGTCATCTCACCGCGGTGGGGTGATATGTCCCGATACGACTTGTCCGAAGGGCTGGGGCCTCTCCAAATCGGATGGTAATATTTCATCTTTGTCAACTGTCGTCTGCCGACACCCCTGCGGTTTGGCCCTGTGACATCCTTGGCTTGGCTCCGAAGGGATGCTACCAGGGCGCCACCTGCACGTTCAACCGTAGAACCACCAGTTGCCTATCTGTCTCACACAGATGGCAGCACAGCGCGACTCACCTGTGTGAAGCAGCGCATGCTGCGGCCGCAGAGCCGGGTGAGCCGCGCCTGGGACGTGCAGAGGGCAGCACTGAGCCGCTGCCGCTGAGCTGAGGCCGTCGCTGCTGACTCGAGCTGCTGCTGCAGGCTATCGAACGTCTGCTGCTCGATCAGCATGGCGTCCTGCAGCAGCTGAATCAGCTCCAGCAGACCCTGCAGGAGGGAATGGAGGGGTGCGGTCAGGTGGACGGCGGATGGAAACGTGGTCTGGTTTTAGCTGGGAAGGGAATAGAAGTTGGTTAAGCATGCAGGTAAGTAAGTAGGCTGTGTTTCTGCATCAACAGTGGCTCAGTCTGATTTGATAACGCCTCCCAGTTATCATACTTATTTCATAGCTCAGTTTTTTTTTTTTGTTACCTCTAAAACGTGTAATCGTTTTTTTTTTTTTACTTCCCACCTATAATTAGAGGCGACGACCTGAAACTCATTATGATATTTGCTCATTACAGGTGAAAAGTGTTTCAAACTAGCATAACAGAACGTTTACAATAGCTTCCAATCCTTCTCACGTTCACATAAAATGCTCATTCTTTATTCATGTCTCAGACGTTCATTCTTTCATGTTCTGTAACTTTACAAATTTAGACTCCAAAATATGCACACAGCACTGCGCAGTTGCCGACAAAAAAGTAGCATCCGGTCCGGAATTCCCTGCCAAACTTCAAACCATAAACTTCAATGACTGCATATCTCAGAGGCCGGACTCGCATACGCCTCTCACGACATCCCGAATTGAACAGAGCAGCTGCGGCCGATCGCACGCCAGTCTAGTCAGCAGCCAATAACGCTCCCAAAAAGAGCGGAGCAGCCGAATCTCGGTCTCCTCAGAGCAGACCGACATCGTTAGCTCTGCTAGACGCGAGTCGTGCAGCCACGCCGTCGTTACTAAAACGAAGTTCGAGATTCAGATCACTCTTGTGGAGTGTGGTGAGACCTTTCTTGATGAGTTAGAAAAAGCCATGAAAGCGGCTCATGACCGTATTATATGAAGCATGGTTGATCAAATATCTAGCCTCATATTCCTCCACTTTATGTCTAATGAAACCAAACCTCCCACATATTCTTCCGCAAGATCCCGCTGAAGATGAACTAAAAAAAACGTTTAAAAAAACGTTTGTAGACAACAGGAATAGCAGTGTGAATGCAACGTAGATGTAATTCAATAGATACACAGCAAGCTGGCATTTTCATAAAATGCGTTGGTATAGGTATAGTTACATTGCACATCGCTGATATCAACTTCGACCAGCGATATCCATCTCCGCCCACAGCAGGCCCAATATAGACCCCGGCTGCGTGGGCTAAGGGTGTCCTGGGCCGCAGTCTCTTACTGCTGTCGTCTGTTGAATTGTTCCAACATAAATCGCTGATGTTGCCCGACCTGTCGCCAAGTAAGGTTCGGTGGCCATGAGCCGTCAGTCGTCACGTTCAGGGATGTCTGACCACAGCCACGCGCTGGGAGAGGGAAGGGGGGGGGGGGGCGTGCAGGTGTCTTATGACTGGTGGCAGCAGCTCATAAGTTTTTTTTTAATATCCTTTTTTGTTAACGGTACATTGCAGTGCAGATACGGTGAGGATTGAATCGGCTAACACTCGTCGAACGCTGTGTCAACTCTTAATTTATTAGCCGCAACGCGTCAGTAATATTTCTGACATCTGTCGCTGTGTATAGATACGAGGCAAACGATACGCGAAGTTCTTAATTGCAAGTAAAAGTGACATCTATCAAAGTCATGATGTTCTCCAGCCTATAAAACTAATTATGAGAAAAATCCCACGGCCTAACTGTTGACATTTCCCTGACCCTAAACTAGTCGGCCACGTTTAGGTCGTGCTTTATTGGACGAAGCATTAATTCAACAACAGTGTTAATTGACGGTTTGCGAGCCTTCCTCGACATATTTGCATAAATACAGATACCGTTGTGCTATTTATGTGGCTCCTGCTAATAGCTGTGGCTTAGCACTGAAATGTTCCGAAACCAATAGGGTGTTCAATCTGCGAAGAAAATAACGGTTGAATGAGCGGAACTGACATAGGAACGCTGGAAGGTCCAACTTGGAACTGTTGTGTGTAGCTATGCGGCAGTATTATACCTATTTCGTATATATACCTATTTCGTATATATATTTTTCCTATTTCGTATATATTTCGTGTATATATACCTATTTCGTAGTATACCTATTTCGCTGTTACAGATTACAAGTTAGAAGGTCGGGCAAGGCTAGTCCGTGGTACAAATTTACTGCGAGGTGAACATGCACACCTAATAACGATCCATGCATTCACCTGGACGGACAAGTACAATGTAGAAAATCATGGAGAAGTGTTGGTAAAACCTTTTCAATTTCTACTAATTCTTGGCCGCTACAAATTATGTTCTAGTTATGTGTTTGCACTTGTGACACCGGAAGCGTAATACATGTGTTGCTAAAATGACCGGTTGCATTCGAGACTCGACGATAGAGATATCTGTAAGAGCAAGCAAACTAATCAACTATTGTATGTGCAGCGGAATAGAAAGTACTCATGCTCAAACGATCTGTCGCCTCGTCGAACATTTCCTATGCCCTAATGACCGGTCAAATCCACTTACCCTCTGCGAGATCCGCCGCAGTGACTGGTCATGTAAGAGCGGAGAGCCGCTCCAGTGGCCGGTTAAACTCACTCACCCTCTGTGAGAGCCGCTCAATCACCGGTCAAACTCACTTACCCTCTGCGATAGCCGCTCATTTGACCGGTCCAATTCAATTACCCTCTGCAATAGCCACTCAGGTGACCGGTTAAATTCACTTACCCTCTGGGATAGCTGCTCCAGTGACCATTCGAATTCACTTACCCTGTATGGTAGCCATTCCAGCGACCGGTCAAATTCAATTACCCTCTGCGCTAGCTACTTAAGCGACCTGTCAAATTCACTTACCCTCTGCGATAGCTGCTCCAGTGAGCGGTCAAACTCGTCATCTGTGCACCACATCAGGTGTTCCCGTCCCTCCGCCGTCAGGGCTGATGCCGACACTCCCTGTGAACAGAACACTGCATGTCAGCTGATTGATCACGTCAGCTGATCGATCACGTCAGCTGATTAACCCGCGCCCCGTAGGGGGGGCCGAAACGCCCCCCCCCCCTGTCCTTTTCGGTCGATATCTCCTAAACGGCTGGAGATATCGTCACCAAACTTTCAGGACCCCTCTGGGCATCAATTTTACACATTGTGACCAAACATTTTTTCCAGAGGCTATGATAGGTTGGCCACAAATGACGTCAGAGTGACGTCATGTTCTGTCATTTTCGACCGAAAAAAGACCTTCGTGAGAAGACCTGGCAGGACTACAGCTTTGAAGATACAGAAAAATGATCAAGACATAAAAGGTGTAGAATAGACAGGGCTACAAAACTACTATCTCAAATTTTTGAAATTTTTGAGTTTTGACCCCCAAAAATCAAAAAAGCACTTTTTTGCATATATTCGCCAAAAATCCAAAAAGTTTTTTGAGTTTCGAAAAAAACCGGAATAAATGTGATAGTGCCTACCGTCTTCTATCTACATACCAAATTTCAAATCGATACCTCGTTTTTTGGCCAAGTTATAGCGAAAAAACTGTTCAGAAATGATGACTTCAAATTTTCAAACTCAATTTTTGGCAATTCTAGAACTCTTAGAGCAAAACGAAGACCACCATTAGACTCCCCATGACGAGTTGCATCGAATCGATACCCATTTTATGCAAAAATATCAACTTTGAAATTTGACCTTTTTTGACCTGACCTTGACCTGACCTTCACAAAAACGTGACCTAGGCTGGCCCCAAAGGCTGCCTAACCCACATAATCGCATTTGTCATGTAAAATGGACCATAAAACATGTATCACACGACACATTCATATTGTGACCCCCGGTGACCTGACCTCGCTGTGACCTGACCTGGTATCAGTGACCTCAGATAGCAAAGTATGTGTTTGACGAACAATGTACCATCGATGGTTTTCAATAAATTACCAATTTACTCGCTTTCACAGCACATTTCTTGAATTGCCTGTGAACGGTGAAAATCTGACCTTTGACCTGACCTGTGACGTCATCGGTTTGACCTAGGTCAATGAAATTTGGTCACAAGGTAGTTCCCGGGTGGGGATATCGAACGTTGTTTGAATTTTGAAAATCGGCCGGTAACTTTCCGAGATCTTAGGGGGGGGGGCCGAAACGGCCCCCCCCCCCCCTACGGGTGGTAGGGTCCGCCGGTAGCCCTACGGGGCGCGGGTTAAGGGGGCAACGGGGGGAGGAACAACGAGCAAAAAACGCAATTGGGCAGAGGTGGTTATGTAAAGGGTTTGTTACACTTTCTTAGAAGATCGATTGAAAAATATTACTTAGTCATAGTCAAACAATAACATAACGTTCTTTTAATTTTTGTGTTTGCATCTGACTGTTTGATCTGGGTCAGAAAAGAAACATTGATTTTCTCTGCGACGGTCGGCGTCAGCTGCGTCTGGCCTGGTCGGCGCCTAGCTCAAATCATATTCAGATGAAAATATATCCTTGCTTGGCGATGTCAGCGCCGGACGCTTGTGAATATGCAAACTTTTCGCCAATTTGATAACCTAATTTGAACTATCACCATGGTAGAAGGGTAAACCCCCGCAGTCTCAAGAGCATACTGAAGCGTCATTGTGTTTTGTGTCGTCAGCCTCTTCAAAAACGAATCCATTGCATCATACGGCGGCTTCGACTAGTGTTAAAAAAAGTTCAAAACGACTTTTATAGAAAGTCTCTACCTTCATACTGCAATGGAGTGTAGCATTTGCCTACTGATATTAGATATTTGGTAAAAATGCGTTTTTTCTATTGCAAATCATCTCATTTTGGCAATATTTTAATTCTTAAAGGGAGATAATGACCTTTTTCCACAAAATCTGAGTTAGGACCATTTTCTGACAAAACACAACAAGTTATAATGTAAATTAAAACCATTTTGCTCAATGCGGTACCTTGCCGCAAATATCTCAACTTGAAGTCACGTTAGCGGGGAGCGCTGAAAATGACCGTTGAATAAGTACTCACATCACTTTTTGGTACTTGCATGTAATTTTGTAAAATGAGCGTATTCCTTACATTTGATCTTCATCACATCTAGTTAGTTAATGGTCGTCTATAGTGCCTTCAAAAGATATTCATGGTTTGGGGGTGGTTTATGTCTAAATTTACGCAACTATTTTTCCTGTTCATCATCTGAGGCCATATGCTGCTATTTTAGTAGCAACGACTCAATTTTGAATCGGTCCCGCCGACTGCACAATAAAAGAAGATAGATACAACACTTTTGCGGCATCACTGAAAAACTTATGCAGTAGTGTTATCAAAATTCTCATAACACCGTTCGACAAACCTGAAGTCTTTTTGAAATAAATATGCTTGTATTTTTCGCTTCAGGCTCTGAGGCCAAAATAATGAATTTCGTAGTCGCAATCGCAAGATTTGGCTGCGTTTCTGGCGCATGCCGTTCATTTGTGGCGCAAAATAATACTTGGAAACAAAGAAGAGTAGGCACTATGTACCCCCGAATTAGAATCTAATTAATTATAAACCGAATTAACTCTAATTCAAATTAGAATCCTTACAACCAAGCAACGACAAGGCGATAACATAAACAAAAACCCAAGCGTCGCTGTTTGAAACAAAAGCGCCATATACTGCGACTTTTTTATAGAGAAGGACAACGCATTTCGGTGGGTGTTACAAGTACTGCTTCTTTTTTGCAAAAATAAAAACCTTTTTCACATACGAAAATGTGCTAGGAAATTTTCATATTTTATAGAAACTACAGTAGAAATAGTATAGATGTCGAGTAATTTTTATTTAAGAAAAAAGAAAGCTCATTATCTCCCTTTAAGTTTTGAAGACAAGCTCAGTAAAATCATATTTACTTTTCGTAACATGCCAACCTCACCAACAGAACCAGCAAGTTTTCGCACCAACAGTTTTCGCAAGTAAAGCATAGTTGAAATGACGCATTTTATGTTTTTCTTAGGACAACAGATTTCTATCAGTTTTTCTTAAGTTGACCATTTCATATTATAAGGTATAGAAACTTGAACTAAATATGATTTCTATATAGAAACTGTCGATAGAACTTTGTGAGTTTTGCATTTAAAGCATGCTGAAAGTGTAATGAGTTATTATTTCATGTGGTGCGGTACTGCGGTGGTGGTCACTGCGTGGTCGGGTTCGCTCCGTATGTAAACTAAGGCCAGTCCGTTTTCAGAATAGTCCGCGCCCTATAGCAGAGCTCCAAGTATAATAATAGCAAGACGTAGCGTGCTCGAACTACACAAAGCATAAATCATATAGTGTGCATTTCGTACATCAAGCTTGCGTGTTAAAAATATTGCCTTGCTTTGGACTGATCTGCATATGCTTAGGTGCGGTGATTATCATGTGAAGTTGAACATAACTTGATTTAAGCTTGTCAACAATTCGTAAAACATAGTAAAATAAATTAAGCAAACATGCTTAAAAAGATCCGTTGGACCTGTTTATGAAATGCGTCATCAAATACCAACAGCCAGATACTAACGATTGACTCCAGATCACACCACCACGACACAAACATAAGCACCTAATCCGAGCGCCACGAACCAAAAAAAGTTAACAAAAAGTCACCTACTAATCCGTTTTTATTGGCCACCCTCTCCCGCTTCCAACGGCCAGCGCTCGGACAGGCATAAATCGTGTGCCGCATGTATAGGTGAAACCGAGTATCTCTACGGGACACCTCTGAACCATCGTCTCTGGAACAGCCACCGGATTCAGCTGCCACCAATGACTCGTGCAAAGAACGACTATTGGACCGTTACTTCGGTCACGAGCCAATGCCAATGCCGAAACTCTGCCGCAGTCCGGAGGTCCAAGATGTTGCACTGCATACTGCACCAGTGACCCCAAGTGATCAGCTCAGCCTCAGCGGAAGTCATGCATTGCAAATCAACAGCACGGTGTCATAAAACGGCGCCAGAATTGAAATTCATTAATGTTAATTAATACGAAAAACGTGCATTGTCTGACTTGAAGCGAGCTTTCACCAGGAGTCACGGCCACCATTGAATGATATAACTGGATACATCAAACGGAATGGTCGCCTGAAGTGGCCATATTCACTCAGCAAAACCGATCTTGCATGGCAGACTATTGGTCATGTTTATGCAAGTTTAGCATTGAACTTTACGACTTACGAAGGGCAGCCGTCAGAACCACGTACATCTCACGAACAATTTTTCTCTGAACACCTGTCAAAGAACGTGTCCGTTATATCCAACTCTTCCATCATTTTATAAAGTGCAGCATGGACAATCATTAACGTCTGCTTATCCGTATTGGCACCGCCTGGATAGAACTCCCCGTTCTTACTGCAGATGGAATCGACATGTGCGCCATTTGTGGTCTGGACATGATGTATTGATATGCGGGAGTGTGCCCAGAAGATCAGCTAGGCGTGAGCACGTCTGACAGTTTCAGTGCACGTGAGCCTGACTGGGATCATTGAGTGGAAGCTCAGTAGAACCAAGGCCCTAAAATAGAACTTGACAGCGAGCGTAATAGTTTATTGGCGCCATTCACGGTCTGGTTTAATTGAAATATCGAGTAACAAAACGACCGGAGTAAAGAGGTTATGTGATTGAAAGGTTCACCAATAGCATTCATGTTTGTGGCAGCAAGTCCATGTTCTTGCAACGTTATATCAACCAGTGAACATGACGACACGCCCCCAGCTGCAGGTAAAGGCCTTCTGAATTACACATGTTCTCTGTAACCGACCAAGTCCAAAGCTGAACAACACAGCAGTAATATGGCACAAGCATGTGTTGCTGAACACCTGTACCACAGACTTCTCTATACATAGAGAAGTCTGTGCCTGTACAGATCCCTCGTAGGTCATGAACATCGTGGATCGATAACAGCGAAACCACTTTTTTTCTTAGGTGACACACATGCTGTGCGTCTAACAAGCAACAGTCTTCCAAACA